AGAGCGCAGGCTCAGTAGTTGTGGCACACAGGTTTAGTCCCTCCGTGGCATGTGGGATCTTCCTGGACTAGGGCTCGAACCCGTGTCCCCTGCATTGCTAGGTGGATTTTTAACCACTGCACCACCAGGGAAGTCCCTAAAAGATTGTTTTGAATATTTCTGTTACAATTTAAATATTTATAATCTTTGACTCAGCAATGCTAGTAAACATTTCTACAGGTTTGCAAACATATATAAAAGAATGTTTATCGTTGTATTAATTCATTCAGTAAATACTTAATGAGATTCCCCTGTGGGCTTGGCACCCTTCTGGGCACTAGGAACACAGCAGTGAAACAAACCAAAGTCCTTACTTTCATAAAACTTTGAGGCCTCTGGTGGAGACAGACAATATATAATTAAACAAAGGTACAAAAAATATCAAGTAGTGATAAGTGCTATAAAAGAAAAAGGGAGGTGTCAGGGATTAAGAAGTGGTAGAGGGTTGGAGGGAGGTGCTATTTTAAATAGGATGATCTAGGAAGGCCTTTCTGAGGAGGTGGCATTTGAGCAGGAATCTGAATGAAGTGAGGGAATCAGCCAAATGGAGATTTGGAGGAATTGTGTTGTAGGCATTGTTTAAAATACCAAAAATTGGAAGCCACCCGAATGTCCATTAAATAATAAGTAACCACAGTTTGCATAATAATGAGATAGAGCTATATGTACAAAATGAAAAGATATCTAAGATACGAAAAACAGGTTGCAAAACTGTATAATGATTCAATTTTTAAAAATTAACCTAGAGTAAATATATTTACCACAGCGAAGACATTTGGAGAAATATACAAAATTATCAAAAAATCTCACTTCCAAAATGCCTAGGTACCAACTAAAGAGAGAGCCAAGAGAAAGGCCGAATCATTGCTCTAAAACAGGATGGGGAAGGTGGAATATGGCACAAGTCCTAGAGACCCATACTCTGCCTTTTCTGACACACTAGAGCTCTCCTCTCTTTCTGGTCACTGAAGCCCTATCCCTCCTTCCCTTTCCTCGCTTCCCCACCTCCCTATCTCCCTCCCCTGGCTTTGCTCTTGGGAAAGGAGCCTGTGCTTCTGTTTTCTTAGCCTGGTTACTTCATCTGGACTGGTCTTCCTGCAGGTCTGTTCTCTGGCTGCAGTCTGTGGTGAGGTGCTGATAAGGAAGGGGCTTCCAGGAGCCCTCTGATTTATTACAGTCTCACTTTTAAACACAGAATAAGAGGCTTTGTCCCTGGTTACCAGCGTCAGAATCTTAACTGAGCCAGGAGCTCAGTTTGGGACGTAGGATTGCTCACACACGCTCCCGACAATTCTGACTGGATCACCTGCCTTGCCTTCAAGGCTCTTGAAGCAGCCCAGCTTTCTGTTTGATGCCTACCCCAACTCCCACCCACCACTACCAAGCTCTGCTGATTTCCAGGGCCCTGTGTGTCTGTGTGCTTGTAAACCAGTGGTTAGAAACAACAAGAGCACAGAAAAATGGCGAGGATGAAATAAAGACACAAAACACGTTCTGTGCTCCTGGATTACTTCTAACAATTTTTCAGTTGATTATTTTGGATTTCTACGTAGGCAATCATATAATTGATAATTCTGTCCTTCTTCCTGGTATTTATGACTCTTACTTTGTTCTGTTGTCTAATTGCATTAGCTAGCACTTCCAGAACAACATTAAATAAGAGGAGAGGTGTTCAATGGCTGGTTAGCTCAGTTGGTTAGAACATGGTGCTAATTATAGGAGAGGTAGAGAGCATTCCTGTCTTGCTCCTGACTTCAATGGGGATATTAAGAATAATATTGGAGGGCTTCCCTGGTGGCGCAGTGGTTGAGAATCTGCCTGCCAATGCAGGGGACACAGGTTCGAGCCCTGATCTGGGAAGATCCCACATGCCGCGGAGCAACTGGGCCCGTGAGCCACAACTACTGAGCCTGCGCATCTGGAGCCTGTGCTCCGCAGCAGGAGAGGCTGTGACAGTGAGAGGCCCGTGCACCGCGATGAAGAGTGGCTCCCGCTCGCCGCAACTAGAGAAAGCCCTTGCACAGAAACGAAGACCCAACGCAGCCAAATAAATAAATAAATAAATTTTATTAAAAAAACATAATAATAATATTGGAAAAAAAAGAATAATATTGGTTAATAAGATGCGATTATGTGTATGTGTGCATGTGGACATGATTTATATCTGTTATATTAGGGAAGTATTCTTTTCCTTTTGTCAGAATATTTATGAGGAATGAATATTCAATTCTATCACATTTTAGCATTTCTCTTCATTATTCTGCTTTTTCCTCTTTTTAATTATTTATGTGGTGAATTAGATGATAGATTTTCCTTCTATTATGCCACTCTATTCTTCCTGAAATAAACTGTAGTCATTTTCAGAACATACTGCAAAATTATGTTCATGTATTTCATTTAGTCATTTTGCATCTATATTTATAAATGGAACTGGTCCATAGTTTTTCTGTTGTACAATCTTTATAGGACTTTGGTTTCATGAAACACTGGAATGTTTGCTTCTTTCTCTGTGCTTTAGAGCAGCTTTAATAGTATGAGAATGATTGATTATGTGAAAGTCTGAAAGATGTTGCTCTTAATGTGTCTAGGTTCAGATTTTTTTTTTTGAGGTATTGCTTTTGATAGCTTTTGTCCATGGTTATTTATCTGTTTAGATTTTCTACTGTCTTTGAGTCCCTGTTGGTAATTTATATTTCCTTGAGTATTATCCATTTCATTCAGATTTTAAATTGTAATAGCATAGGACTGAGCAAAGTTTTCACTTGTATTTCTCATCATTTCCTCTGTACCCATGGTTATAAGCCCTTTCTCATTGTATATTTGTTTTGTCTTTTTTTTTTATCATGTTAGCTAGTGGTTTATCAGTTTTACTGTTTGCTTTCCTCCCACCCCAAAGAACTAGATCTTAGATTTATTAATCAGTTGTTTTTCTGTATTGAAATAATTCATTTTGCTTTTATCTCTATTAATTCCTTCCTTTTGCTTTCTTTAAATTTTGCTTTGCTGTGACTTTTTTTTCCCCTTCTAATTTCCTGCATTGTCTGCTTTGTTAATGAACTTTTATTTTTTCTTATTCAGCAGTGAAAGTGTTTAAGGTCATGAATTTTCTTGTGAATACAACTTTGGCTGCATTCCATAAGTAATGTTTCATTGACTTTTTTTTTTTTTTTGCGTTACGCAGGCCCCTCACTGTTGTGGCCTCTCCCGTTGCGGAGCACAGGCTCCAGACGCGCAGGCTCAGCCACCATGGCTCACGGGCCCAGCCGCTCCGCGGCATGTGGGATCCTCCCAGACTGGGGCACGAACCCGTGTCCCCTGCATTGGCAGGCGGACTCCCAACCACTGCGCCACCAGGGAAGCACAATTGACTTATTTTAAAAATAATCTATAATTCAACTTTTTAAAACTTCATGTTGAGGTCTATACATACAGAAGAGCAAACATATCAAAATATGTACACTTTGGTGAATATTCACAAAAAGATATAGAACATTACAGCTACATAGTTTACAGGGTCCAATGAGAAATGAAAATGCAATGTTCCAGTTTTATTAAGAACTTTAAGATGGTGACAGCAGAGCATTAAACCACCAGTGGGGCCTTTCTAAGTGCAGGGCCCTATGGACATGCCCATGATGCTAGTGCTTCAACTTCCCTCTGGGCTTTCTTCTCACCCCCAGTTCCCCTCCCTACCAATAGTATCCACTGTCCTGACTTCAGATAATGAGAGTAGTTTGGCCCGCACTCTTAGGTCCAGCTTCCTTTGCTGAACATTATATTTATGAGGATCATTCATACTTTTACATGCAGTTGAAGATCATACATTCTCATTGCTGTGTACTTAAAACTAGTCTATAATTTAGTTTTGGTCTGTCACCGATTGAAGAGTTGTTTAGGAAAACTTGAAATTTTTTCCTAGTGATTGAGTGCATTAGACTAAGTTCTAACTTCCTAGTCTCAGAGGTGGAGCTAGAAACAGGCTCTTCTTCCTCCGAATGAGCAAGTCCTTAGTCAGAAAACATATAGTATGAATAAGGAACAGTCAGCTTCGGAATAAAAAGCTCCTCCTCGGGCTTCCCTGGTAGTGCAGTGGTTGAGAGTCCGCCTGCCAATGCAGGGGACACGGGTTCGTGCCCTGGTCCGGGAGGATCCCACATGCTGCGGAGCGGCTGGGCCCGTGAGCCATGGCCGCTGAGCCTGCGAGGCCACAACAGTGAGAGGCCCGCGTACCGCAAAAAAAAAAAAAAAAAAAAGAATGGAGACTGAGACGGTGGGTGATTGAGACCTTTTCTAATGTTATCTATCTATGAAGAGCTTTGAAGGGAAAGCAGCCAATCCCCCCGCCCAACCCTGAAGGGTTTCCCATTTCAAATGACTAAATCATGACCCTTTTTAGCAAGACTTCAAAGAACCTGATCAAAGATAACATTTATATTAAATAAAACGGCACAACATTTTTTCCTTTTTACTGTAAGGCTTGAAATGAAAAACAGCCACGTTTCAGCTCCCTGGCAAACAAAGCATGGTGAACAACAGCAAAGAAGTGATTGTTGCAGGACAACCCTCACACACCCTCCCCCCCTTTTTTTGGACCTTGGTAGACCCCACACTGATTTTCCAACATTAGAGATGGTTTTTCAGGTGCTTAGGTCATTGGGCAATCGAGATCACCAAAGCTCATCTTGATAATCTCTGCCACAGGTTATCATCTGAGAAGGCAGTTGTGGTGTGGTGAAAAAACACCCTGGACTTGGGAGTCAGAAAGTCTGGGTTCTTAAGTCTTTGCCCTGCCTCACCACAGCTGTAAGGCCTGGGTAGACACTTAACCTCTTTGGACCTTCAGCTTCCTTATGTACAAACAGGAGTAGTAAATCCCACATATCTCACAAAATTGTTATGAGTAGATAAAAATGTATGGAAAAGTACTTATTTTGTGCTTGATACACAATATACTCTCAATATATGTGTTGTATTTTATTATGTTCATGATATTTTCTACAACACTTCCCCCCACCTCCATACCAATTTAATGAAACAAATATAAAGGTAACATTTAAAAAATTGCTGTATTCAAAATTAATAATAAACTTTAGGGTAAATAAGCTTTAAAACAAAAGTACATAAGCAAAAATAAATAATTTACACCAACCCACTAACCTAATTTTCAGAGTAAAGCCATTTCCAATTACAGCACTATTATCCCGGGCTCCAGCCTGTGGTCAAACTTTGATAGTTTATTATTTTTAAAAAACAGTAACAAGAAACTGAACGCTAAGGAAAATCTTTAACAAAACCAAAGTACTGGATTTAACTTTTTAATTTTAAATAACCAAACTTTGTAATTTTATATATAATCCAATGTAATGCTAATACAATTAGCACTTCAGCTTGAAGAGCTGTTAGTTAACAGGGATGGAAAACTATAATGAATAGTCTTCAAACCGTAAGATACAAATAAAAATGGACAAGTATACAGTAGAACAAAAACTGCAGACACTCTACTAGCTGAGGGAAATATGTAAAGGCTTTACATCCTTTATTATCCATGATGGCTTTTGGAATTATGATTGTTTGATGTATAGAATCTTTGACATTTTAGATACAGCCTTTAATTTTTCACAGTAAGTTAAAAATCCATCATAAGTCTCCATAAGACTTCACTGGTCTTGCATGTAGACTCTAGGATTTTGCAATCTGATAAAAGAGTAACATAAAAATTTACTGTATTACCCTAACTTCATACTTCCTTGTACACAATGAATCAGTTTGGGAAATCTTTTCCAAGGGTTATATACACAAAAGTGTCAAGAATAAACTGTTCTCCACTCTTGCATAAAAATGTGTACAGTGTTTCAGGAATGAAAAATTTCTAATTTTCCTGGGCCCGGGCTTCATGGATCTCTGCTGCCTGAAGATGAAAGGCTTCTCTTCCTTTATTGCTCCATTGTTCTGAGGATTAATCATCCAACCCTGGCGTTTCTCCTTGTTGGATCCTGGACGCTATTCTGATGGCTTCTTCCAGAGATGGCTGTTCTCCAAGCTGAAACAGGAACATACACAAAACCACAGTCAAGATGCCAAAGAAATATAACATACCAGAAGTAAAATTTCTCTCTGTAACTCTGACACCTGGGCTTGTTAAGGTACTACTGCTGATCCACAAAACATAAAAACAAATTCCTGCTGGGGATGCAGTTTCTTTATTTAGGATTTTGATAAACCTTCACGCATGCAAGGAACAAAAGATGCTCATCTTTTCCAGTGGAGATAGAGAGCTTCCTGAGCCTTTAGCTTTTATGCCCATAAACTAAATTAAAACCAATAGCTGACATTTTCCTGAGTATGTTCTAACCCTTTTCCAAGTAAATACATTTAAAAAAAAATCTTCCCAAGGAAAGGTAATCTACACCTTGCATTCTAGATTCTCTGCCTGAATGCAGTGACTTCCCAGAGAATGTGTTCTTCACAGTCTTGTGACATTTCCCACCATAAAATACAGCTGTGCAGTGATTCTCAGAGGACTAACTTGGGGTCTATGTTTACAGGAGGTTCATTTCCAAGGAATAACTCTTAAGTGCTTTATAGAATCCTGCCTAATTAGACTTTTATTCTGAGAGTAAAGATAGCTGGCCAGGTACACATAGGTATATATATATACCAGGAGCTTTATTTTTCTTGTTATAAATTCCCCTAGAATATACAAGGATGGTAGAAAACAAAGTTTTAGTCTGAGTCTACTTCAAACGCAGCAATTTCCTTAATGTGGCTAAGTAATACAGATGATTCTGTGCCCTGCCTCTGTGAAGGTTACGCATAAAGCAGAGAGTACAAGGCTGAGAGCTGAGCAGCACTGCTGTCAATGGAGGACAGTTGCCATTGTACCCACCTGAACTGCAATCTGGGTGCCGTTGGATGTTGCCACTAAGGTCAAAGGTCTGGTTTCTGTGGTTACTAAGTGATGGCTATGCTGTTGGTGCCCCATTTCTGATGATGCAGTATGGAATGCTGCCAAGTCCTGAGCCACAATTGCAACCTTAAAAAATACACAGAAAAATTAAAACTATGATTTAAATAGGTTAAAATCCATTTAACACAAGGGACTGTCTTCAAATTCAAAAGGAAAACCTCCCTTCTGACGATACACTTGTAGAAGCCTAAAGCTGGAAAAGACCTTACATATTGTCTATTCTGGACTCTTTTTTTTTTTTGGCTGTGCCATGCAGCTTGTGGGATTTTAGTTCCCTGACCGGGGATTGAACTTGGGCCCTTGGCAGTGAGAAGCAGCAGTCCTAACCACTGGACCACAAGGGAATTCCCATGGACTCCTCTTTTTTATTTGAACAAGTTGAGGCTCAGATAGACGGGACGTATCTAAGGTTATAAAGTGAGCCAATGGCAAAACAGGGTAGAGGACACTGAAAAAGTGGATTCGCTATGTCAGGCTCCATTAACCAGGAGAGACATGACTGTGCATAGATTCTATTATCCCTAAGAGGCTGCCTGGGAAGTTACACACGTGGACTAATTCACACCTCATATGTCTATTTATTCCCGAGTTTGGATCATTGATAGATATACTATTTTCTCCTGTTTATCTGTTGCATTTAAAATTAGATTTCCATAAAAAAATTAAAAATTAAAAAAATTAAAAACAATTAAAAATTTTAAAAATAAAAAATAAGACAAAAGAATTAAAAATAAAGTTAGATTTCCACTGGGAATTCCCTGGCGGTCCAGTGGTTAGGACTCGGTGCTTTCACTGCCAAGGGCCCAGTTTCGATCCCTGGTCAGGGAACTAAGATCCCGGCAAGCTGCATGGTGCTGCCAAAAAAAACAACAACAAAAAGATTTCCATTAACTAGGAAAACAAAGTACCAGTACCATTACTGACAAAATAGCAACTATCTTTTTTTTTGGGGGGGGGGGGGCTCACCATGGCCTGAGGGATCTTAGTTCTGACCAGGGATCGAACCCATGACCCCTGCAGTGGAAGCACAGAGTCCTAACCACTGGACCGCCAGGGAATTTGAAGCAACACATCTTGTTATACTCACTTCCTCTTTTAGATTCCATGGAATCTTTCCATCTTGTTCCTGAAGCATCTAGTCAAAGTGGTTAAAAGTGCTTTTGTGGCTCTTAAACCACAAATATAGCTTTTGCTATGTGGATAACAAAGAAAATGGCATCAATTACTTCTGTTATATATTTAAGAATTTTGTCCAGCCAAACTCAGAGAAAGAATAAGTTAAAAACTGAAACTACTATTTTACTTGGCCATTAATCCATTAAAAATGGTAGATTTTAGAGCTAATAGATATTCAGCTTGGATCAATTCCAGTAATGTTCCATAGTCCAGCAACAGATTTCAGTATGGCAGTGGGGGAATAGCTTATATTGGACTAACCCTTCCTGCAGATAACAATCATAAAGTGTGGAAAAAAATATAAAAAAGCAACCATTTGAAGGCAGTGGTGAATGATGAAAAGCAGGCAGGAAACGGAGGGGATTCTTAAAAGAAGAGAACCACACTGGGTCACATCTATGTTTAAATAGCTTTTCCACTGAGGGCACTCACCAGTCTGAGCAACACAGGGCAATTTAAGCTATCAGAGATAATGGAGTCTATGGCTGCCAGAATGGCTATGTATTGAGAGGGATATCCTAGAAAGGAGAAAACCAGAGGGAGAGGGGCTCCCAAACCTGTGTATAAACTCCCCTCAATTCTTTAAGACCTCAGAACTGCAAACATGTTGGGGGGGTTCCAATAAATCTGGTAGAAAGCAGCAGCTAGAAGGCTGAAAAGCTGAGAAGAGATTTCAGCGATACCACGGGACAGACAGGATTTAGAACTTCAATCCCACCAAGTTAGAAGGGTTTGGAAAATACCTCAGGCTTTCCATTGAAACCCTAAGAGCCACACTTTAGGAGTAAAGATTGTATCCCAGGACTGAAGATTCACCCTGAGACTAAATGGCAAAACTAAAACAGAACTACTTTAATAAAGTATAAAACCCAGCCTCTACAAGTAACTTAACTACCTGACAAAGCAAAATGAACATTCTTCAGAGAAAGATAACAAAATTAAGAATCTCTATAATGTATCATCCATAATGTCCAGAATACAATAAAAAAATTACAACACATAAGAAGAGGAAAATGTAACCCAGAGTCAAGAGAAAATGAAGTCAGTAGAAACAGACCATGAGATGACCAAAACGTTAGAATTAGTAAACAGGGACTTTAACACAGTTATTATAAATATGTTAAAAGGCTTATGGAATGCATACAAGAGGAAATCTCAGTAAATAAATGAAAACTATAAAAAAAAGTAAATTCTACAATCAAAAATGAGAATATCTAAAATTATCTGAATGGGCCTAATAGAAGATGATGATGTCAAAAGAAAAGGTCAGTGAACTCTAAGATCAATAGGAATTATCCATCTGAAGAACCAAGAAAAAAAGATTAAAAAAAAAAAAGAATGGCTCCCCAGCAACTTGTGGGACAATACCAAGTTAATATACATATAATTAGAGACCGAGAAGGAAAAGAGAAACAGAATGAGGCAGAATAAAAACTTTTGATGAAATTATGGCCAGACTTTTCCTAAATCTGGTAAAAAACAAATACTCTACAAAATATTATATAATGTTTTATAATATTATATATATTGTCTTATAATTATATAAAAGAAACCTAGCAGATAAATACAAAGAAAATCACACCATAATCCCATTGCTAAAAAAATCTAGAAAATAGCCAGAGAAAAACTGATATATTATATACAGGGGAACAATGATATGAAGATGGCAGATTTCTCATCAGAAACAATGAAGGACAGAGACAATTTAAAGTGCTGAAAGAAAAAAATTAACTGCCAACCAAAAATTCCATATCTAGCAAAAATATCCTTCAAAACAAAAATGTTTCAAAAAGAAGGGCGAAATAATATATTTTCAAATAAACAAAAACAGAATTTGTCACTGTAGATCTGCACTACAAATAATGCTTAAGCATATCCTTCAGGCCAAAGGGATGATTCCATATGGAAACTCAAATCTACAGAAAGGAATAAAAGGCACTGGAAATGATAAATTAGTGGGTAAGTATAAAATATTATGTTTCCTGTTGTCCTATAACTTACTTAAAAGATTAACTGTTTAATGCTAAAATATAATGTTGCATTGCCGGGGTTATAACATGTAAATGTAAAATATATTACAGCAGCACAAAGAGTAGGGGCATGAATGAAAATATACTGTTGCAAGGTTCTTAGATTTTATGTAAAGTAGTACAATGTTAAGTCTAAGTAGACTTCAATACCTTAAGGATGCACATTTTAATCCCTGGAGCAACCACAAAAAAGTAACACAGAAGGGTATAATTAGGAAGTTATTTGAGGAATTAAAATGAAATATGTATGCACCTAATAACAGAGATTTAAAATACTGGAAGTAAAAAAACCCCTAACAACTAAAAGGGAAATACAAATCCACAATCATAGTTGGAGGTATTAATTCCTTTTTCTTAGTAACTAGAACAAATACAGAAATGATTAATAAGGTTATAGAATATTTGAACAACACTATCAACCACCTTAACCTAATGTGTAGTACGGTACACCCAACAAGTGCAGAACACACATTCTTTTCAAATACATATGGAATATAATGGGAAATCAATGAAAGACACAGGGAAAACAAGTCTCAAATTTCAAAATAATGAAATCTTACAGAATATGTTCTCTGACCGTAACAGATTTAAATTAAAAATCAAGAACAACAGGTATCTTGGACTTCTCTGGTGGCAGAGTGGTTAGGAATCCACCTGCCAAAGCAAGGGACATGGGTTTGAGCCCTGATCTGGGAAGATCCCACGTGCCGCAGTGCAACTAAGCCCGCTAGCCACAATTACTAAGCCTGCGTGCCACAACTACTGAAGCCTGTGTGCCTAGAGCCTGTGCTCCGCAACAAGAAAAGCCACCACAATGAGAAGCCTGCGCTCTCCACAACTAAAGAGCCCGTGTACAGCAATGAAGACCCAATGCAGCCAAAAATAAAATAAATTTATTAAAAAAAAAAAAAAAACACATTTCCTTATTTAAAAAAAAAAAAGAACAGGTATCTAGAGAAATACCAGATATTAAGAAATTAAGCAACCTACATGCAAATTAAGACCACAATGATATATCATTTCACATCCACTAGAATGGCTAAAATTTTTTAAAGTAACAACACAAAATGTTGATGCTGTGAAACAAACAGAAGTCTTATACATTGCTAGTGGGAGTGTATGATGGTCAAACCACTTTGGAGGACTGTTTGGCACTTTCATGTAAAGTTAAATATACCTCTACCCCATGGCCCAGCAATTCCACTAACAGGTATTTAGCTAAGAGAATGAGACCATATGTGTACAAATATACTTGTACTAGAATTTTCACCGCCACCTTATTCACAATAATCAAAGATTGGAAGCATCCCAAATGTTCATCAAGGGGAGAATCTATCAACAAATTGTGATACTCCTACCACAGAATACTGCTCAGCAATAAAAAACAATGAACTGATGTTATAAACAAGAACATGGATAAATCTCCAAAATATTATGCTAAAAGAAAAAACCCCAAAACAGAAGAGTTCATACTCTGGCTCCACTATGCAAAGTTTAAGAACAAACAAAATAATACAATCAGAATAACTAGGTGGAGACTGACTGGAAGGGGTCTCAAGAGAACTTTCTGGGGTGATAGAAATGTTCTAGATCCTGTTTGGGATGGGATGGGTGTGTATGTTTAATAACTCACTGAACTGTAAATTTAAGATCTGTGCAGGGAATTCCCTGGCAGTCCAGTGGTTAGGACTCTGTGCTTCCACTGTCAGGCGCCCGGATTTAATCCTTGGTTGGGGAACTAAGATCGCACAAACAGCGTGCTGTGGCCAAAAAAACCCAACAAACAAACAAACAAACAAAAAACCTGTGCATTTCACTGTATGTAAATTTTACCTCAATGAAGAAAAAACAGATTTCAGG